GCGTAAAAGGGGTGTGTACCGTGTTTAGTGGTCAAATATTTTAAAATGTAAAATGTGAAAAAAGGAATCTCATGAATTCATTTTTCCTCAACTTGGAAACAGTATGATTTTAGTATGTATATAGGGTGACAGGGGTGCGCAAGCGCTCAGCATCACAAACAGTGATGTTGGGACTGACTAGCTCGTCTTGAGTGAAAAGACTGCCTGCCAGTAAACCGTAGAGCATTCAAGTCAACCTCACCTGCCCGTGGTACACCCTGGGAAACTAGCTCCTCACGGTCCTAGGCAAACGAGGCTCTGGCTAAGGGAAGGAAAACCCAAAAAGAAACCTACTGCGGAAGGCCAACAACCCGCCCAGTTCAAACTATTGTTACAGAAACTGCAAGAAAGGAACTAATTAATACAAATAGGCAGAATGGGAACTGTAGCCGGGAAACCGGCAGGTTGGCCACTTCTGATGAAAGCTCCATTGGAGAAGTCAGGCGTGCGATGGACAGTTTTCTGAAGCCCAAACAAAAACTTCGTATTGGTACTTGGAATGTAAGAACTATGCATGAACCATCTAAAACGGATCAAGACATTAATTGTACAAATACAATCTTGACATTTTTGGAGTCAGTGAATGCCGTTGGACAGGATCAGGGTCAACAACGGCAAAGGATCACACAACCATCCTATTTTCTGGTAGAAAAAACTCTCACATTATTGAAATTAAGAGCTGAAGACTGAGATGGTTGGGTCATGTTCTTAGAATGCCACAAGACTCAATCCCCAAAACAGCACTTCGCTAGACACCACAGGGTCAACGAAACAGAGGGAGGCCAACAACCATATGCAGAGGAACCATTACACCACAGAACTTGCCTAAGCGAACCTGACCTGGAGTAGTGTAGAAATGGTGCCTCACGGGTCACATCCTAAGCATACAGACATCTTCGCAGCATGCACGTCTTACCTTGTCTTTGTCGACAGGCATTTTGCCATTGCTATAACTTTCCTTTACTTCATTACCGTTAATAATTTTAATATCCATAATAAAACATTAGCAATTTTTAATATTCATAATAAAACATTAGCAGTTTTTAATAGCCATAATACAACATTAGCAGTTTTTAATAGCCATAATACAACATTAGCAGTTTTTAATAGCCATAATACAACATTAGCAGTTTTTAATAGCCATAATAAAACATTAGCAGTTTTTAATAGCCATAATACAACATTAGCAGTTTTTAATAGCCATAATAAAACATTAGCAGTTTTTAATAGCCATAATACATTAGCAGTTTTTAATATTCATAATAAAACATTAGCAGTTTTTAATAGCCATAATAAAACATTAGCAGTTTTTAATATCCATAATAAAACATTAGCAGTTTTTAATAGCCATAATACAACATTAGCAGTTTTTAATATCCATAATAAAACATTAGCAGTTTTTAATAGCCATAATAAAACATTAGCAGTTTTTAATATCCATAATAAAACATTAGCAGTTTTTAATATCCATAATAAAACATTAGCAGTTTTTAATAGCCATAATACAACATTAGCAGTTTTTAATAACCATAATAAAACATTAGCAGATTTTTAATAGCCATATAGCAGTTTTTAATAGCCATAATAAAACATTAGCAGTTTTTAATAGCCAT